CGTGTGAACTTGACAAGCTCCGAGAGTAACCTCTGTGTCAGCACGGTCTCTGTATTTCAGTGCCCAGTATCGTTGCACTGACAAGCACCGACTGTGTGTTGCACCTACAGGAAGCAAGGCAAGCAGAATTGGATGTTTGTACACTTAGAATAGCTGCCTATGACTAAGGCCTCTTGAGACACAGGCCACAGGAAAAGAAAATTGGAATTTGCTCTTGGTTCTGTTTCTAACTCACGAAGGAAAAGTCATTTAATCTTCCTTAGACACATGTTTTTTTTTTTTTCACCTTTAAAATGGAAAAACTATTCCATGCTCTACCATGTCACATGGATTTTTAATGATTAAAATTAATGTGATAACAATAGTGAAGATCACTTGGAAGTTTAAAGATGATTAAATAATTGCAAAGATACCATTGTAATTCTATAAATAGAAGGAACATTCAGGGGGAATGTTTTAATGTTAGAGCAAAGAGGCCATTGTCAAGGATATAAGAAATTGCTTTTTCAGGAACTGGCTGTATAGATTATTCTTCAAGGTCATTAACAGAAAATAAAGTGGAGATCAGATTTTTGTAATTTTTATATTATTAATGTTAAGCATGAATGCAAAGTCAAAGTGGAAATCATGCTTTATAAACTATAAAAATGAAGGTCAAAGTATTTCAGAGGCATAACAGAGCCACACTGAATTATAAAGAATAATTTGATAAAATAAATAGGTTGGATTAGGTTAACTAAAGTATCTCATAATTATTTTGAGATTAGAATGTAGACTTAGGATCTTGCATTTGGTAACAATAGACTATTAAACCTTTATCAAACTACAATGTTGTCTACAATCCCCTATCCCCAGGAATATTACTCTCAGGAATATGAGATGAATTGAAAGTAATTGATAAAGTAGATATTTGTAAACTTCAACAATATTAATATATATTTATTTTCATATGAATTTACTACTATAACTATTATGTAGATGAATGAGCTATGCATGGTTAGAAATACCACCTCTGAGGTTGCAGATTTGGGAAGAGGTATGTGTGCATGGGTCTGTGTATTTGTGTGTAGCTGTTAAAGTAAACATTCAGATGTCTCTGAGTGTGTGAGGTCAGTCATTTCCCCAGGCTTTCATGTTCATGGACACACTTGTTTGGGAGAATGATGCTAACAAAAGAGATGCTGGTGTGTAGTCCCTGAATAGCTGAGGTTGGAGACGGGGTGTGGGGGGTGTCTCTTAGTTTTAGATACTGCCATTGCATCATGGACATGGTTTGACTTTGTAGAAAACAGTTAAGTTCTGTATTTAGAGAAGATATATCAGAAGCTAGGGAGTTGTGCCAAGGAAAAATTTGAAACACAAACTGTACATGTTAGGGAACAAAGTGATGCAGGGTGGAGGGACTTTAGAGTTCCTGTTCATTGTGAAACTTGTGAACTGGTCTTGTGACTGATTTGAAGGCCACAGTGGGTCATGGAAGTACCCAGAGGAACATCAACAAGACATGGAAGGAGAACATAGAAACTTCGGGGTGCGGGGAGGGGGAGTGGTTTAGAACTACAAGATTATTGGCTATTTTAGGGTAAGGAATAAATACGGCAAATGTTGACTTTGTGGTCCCTGACTATATGGCTGCAGGTGTGAAAATACAAATAAGGACCTTAAAGTTGAGTTTTGTAGGCTTTCAAAAGTGCTTTTTATTGATTGACTTTGTTATTTGACAATTTAATGTGTGTATTCTCCTTTGCCCTGTTTTCTCTCAGCTCTGCAAACACCCTCATCCCTACCAATCTTTTCCCTGATTTATGACTTTTGGTTTTGTTTCAGGATGCATTTAGTTTAACCGGGGCCCTTGAATTGGAACTATCTGCCAGACCCTGGTGGGATTATCAGTGGGCACATGACTGAAGGCAGTGGTTTTCACTCTCACTGAAACTGTCAGTAAGGATATAGTTCAGCAGTGAAGGGTAGAGTCCCCCCCCTCCCGCACCCGTCCCCCCCCCGTCCCCCCCCCCGAGTCTGTCCTTTACCCATGCCTGATGGGCTTAGTCTTGTGCAGATCCAGTGTAGACATCCACAGCTGCTGTGCATTTGTGGTCACAATGGCTGTGTCTTGCCCAGAAGATGACATTTCCTAGCCCTTCTCCTTTTTTTTTTTTTTTTAAGGCTATTGCATTATCTCTTCTTCTTCTGCTCTTCTGCAATGTTTCCTGAGCCTTAGAGAGAATGGTATAAATGACTTTTCAATGCTGAGTGTTCATCCATCCATCCCTTCTTCTTAGTGTGTGCTGCAGCCATGAATTTCTGTGTTTGCCACCATTCACTGGAAAGGCTTCTCCGATTAAGCCAGGGAGTAAAATGGAATTTTCCATTAAAGAAGTAGATTCTAGCCGTTGCTATATTAGTGGCAGGTGTATTTATCAGCGTGGATGAAGTCATCTTAGGGGACTACATAGGAAGATAGTAGTGAGAGACTTCTGGAGGTTGGACAATATTGGTGAGTTGTCAGAGAAGTTTGGGAGAAATTGAGATAGCCACATGAGTAAAGAGGTTTTGTATGTTTATAACATTTCTTGTGCTTTGCTTTATGGTACCCATTGTGTACCTTTGGGAGGATTTAACCATCCAGGCATTGGAAGAAGTTGGTTTTTTTTTTTTTTGGCTTGGAATGAGTCACACTTGATACTGATCCTTGTTTCTTTAGTAACAATATTACTTCCCTTCTAACAGCCCAGAAAGTACTAGCCAAGCACTTCCTTTATTTTTTCCCCTAATTAAACAATAATTACTTGCTAATTTAAGCAAGCGCTTTAATTTTTAATTCACTCTTATATAAAAGCTTTCGTACTGGGCTGGGGATGTAGTTCAGTGCTTAAGAGAGGTTATTGGTCTTGTGTAGAATCCAGGTCCAGTTCCCATCATCCACATGGCGGCTCGCAATATCTGTGACTTCATTTCCCGTGGATCTGATGCCCTCTTCTGTCCTCTGTGGCCCTGCTGCATGCACATAATGCACATAAACTCATGTGGACAAACACATACACAGGTAAATAGAATAAAAGCAATCTTAAAGTGAAGAATAAATGTAAAGTGTTACAATATTCTTGCATTACAAAAGGTATTTTATGAAATGAGTTTATACCATAATACCGGTGAACATTTCTATATCGGCTAATAGGAACAGATCACAGGGTGCACCTTATTACATCATTTGCATGTTTATTTCAAAATCTGAAATCTCTGGTGCCACATTAAGTGGAAGGAGTATGTTTATACTGTTGGTTCCAAGGAGAGACCTACTTGAGGAAGCCAGTGATATGAATTAATTTGCTGATCTGTCAATTTAATTCCTGTCCCTAAATGATGTCCAAATATATTTTTATCTTTTATTAGGGGAATATGCAATATTTCCATTTATACTAAGTATCTCAGCAGGTTCATCACCTTTCACTCATGAATGTTCTCCCCTTTTTCAGAAACCTCAGTGTCTTAGTCATCGTTCTACTGCTGTGAAGAGACACCATGACCAAGGCGACTCTTATAAAAAGAATGTTCAATTGGGGGCTCACCGCTTGCAGTTTCAGAGTTTAGTCCGTTATCATCACATGGGGAGCACGGTGGGACGCATTGCACTGGAGCAGTAGCTGGGAGCTGTGTCTTGATGATCCACAGGCCAAGACGGTGTGTGTATGTGTGTGTGTGCGCGTGCGCACGCGTATGCATGAGTGAGTGAGCACCCGCACCTAGCATAGACTTTTGAAATCTCAAAGCCCACCCCCTGTGACAAACTTCCTCAAAAATGGCCACATCTCCTAATCCTTCTAATCTTTTCTAAGTCCACTCCCTGATGACTAAGCATTCAAATATATGAGCCTGTAGGGGCCATTCTTATTCAAACCTCCGCACTCAGTTTCATACTGATTTCTTTTTTTTTTTTTTTTGCCCCAGAGGAGACATTGATATCATATGGAGCAGCAATCTAAAGCTATTGGACCTTTAGAAAGAGCTGTCTTAACTGAGTACTGGCCTATAAAGACACGTATGGGCAATATAGCATATGCTTATTTCTTTTGTTTTAGGTATATAACAACAGACATGCCCGTTTATTCTGTGGAAAGGAGGAATTAGAGAGAAGATGCTTTACTTCTTTGCTTTTGGTCATGAATATTATGTAAATACTGCCTGGGACTGAAGGAGAAAGGGCCCCTGAAGGGTCTTGAATGACAGATTTTTGTGTGGCATCTAATTTTAGCAAAATAATTTGGAAGTCTTAGGAGGAAATCATTAGATTTTTGTTGGGAATGATAATTTGAAAACTTCGTGGAAAACCCTAGGAAATATATGTTTATTTAGTTTATCCCAACAGTTAGTCACTAAAGTTTGGAAAATCACAGGGCAGAAAAATTATTGCTGAACAAGTATGCAGATTTCACACAGGTAATATTTAATTTATTTATTTTGGTTTGGTAGGAATTATTCACATTTCTGGTTACAATGTGTGTTCTTAAAAATTTATTTATTTATTTATTTATTTATTTATTTATTTATTTGGTTTTTCAAGACAGGGTTTCTCTGTGTAGTTTTGGTGCCTGTCCTGGATCTCACTCTGTAGACCAGGATGGCCTTGAACTCACAGAGATCCACTTGGCTCTGCCTCCCCAGTGCTGGGATTAAAGGCATATTCCACCGCTGCCTGCTTACAATGTGTGTTTTGTCCTATATATAAACTATGGAAGGAATCAATCAAACTAACTTTGAATTAATTATCTGTTTCTAATACCTTAAGTCTCACCAAATTACCCTGTGACAAAATCTAAAAATATGTTGGAGTCTTTCCCTGAAAGATTTCAATCCTTTCCATTTTCTCTTCATATTTCTCTACATGGATCTGTGAGCTTGATCTTTCAGAACCCTGAGGATGCATTGAGGTGCTCAAATATACAGAAACAGGGACATCTGATCTGATTTAATTTTTTAATACAACACCAACAAGGACATACCTTTTTATTTTTAACGTGCTGCTCCAACCAGCTTAACTTTCCAAGTGAAACTTTAAAGGTGTAGTCACAAATAGGAGTAGAATGAATCTAGTCCATATGACTCTGGTTATACAGGCATGCAAGAGCTGTGGGATGACTGAGGTCTCCATCAAGACTGCAGAGGAAGAGCTCAGAGGCCAGATGATGTGTAGCGTGTTTGGTTCCTGCCAGGAGGAATGGGTAGAGCCGTAAGTGTTCTTAGAGCGGCAGTGGAGACAGGAGATGTAAGGAATATGGGATGCTTGGCTAGAAAATCCACAGATAATGAGTGGGACCAGCCTAAGAGCGAGGCCATGTAGGCTAACGCCAGCTTACATGGAGCTCATGTTATACTACCATCTGTCCCAGGTGCTAGACATGAAGCTCCAGTTAGGTTGTCCTGCTCACTTTTGGTCTGGCAAAAAAGGATTATGGTTGAATCCTTCTCTTATTGTTCCTGTCTTTTGAATGGGAATGCTTATTCTGTATTTTTTTTGGAAGTATATAATGTCTTTTGATTTTATAGGTTCTTATAACTAAGAGTTTGCTCTGAATTTCAGAGGAGACTTTGAACTTGTGCTTTTGAAAAATGTTGGCTGTGGACCCATGATTAGATGAACTTAATGCATCTTGTGTTATGAGGTACAGATGAGCTTTTAGGGGTTCAAGGTAGAATGCTATGATTTAAAATGATGCACGTGATACTAAGTTGACAAAAAGTAGATCTGTGGTGGTTGATGTTTATTGTCAACTTGATTATATTAAGAATCACCTGGCCAGGTGGCGGTGACACACACCTTTAATCCCAGCACTGGGAGACAGGAACAGGCAGATTTCTGTGAGTTCAAGGCCAGCCTGGTCTACAGAGCAAGATCCAGGACAGGCACCAAAACTACATGAAAAAACCCTGTCTTGAAAAAAAAATCACCTAATCAATTAGCAGAGCCCACTTTTGGGTATATCTGTGAAAGTATTTCCAGAGCCAGTTCTTTAAGAGTTCTGACCTAATGGATTAGTCCACTGATGGATTCAGAGTGTGATGGCATCATTGGCAGGTGTTAAATAACAGAACAAATGGCCTTTTGAAGAAGTGGGTGTATGGTACACGTGTTTTTCTTTTTTCTCTTTTTTCTAGACCATCACTCTTATGAAGCAGAATGGGGTGATGACCACAGTCAGGGCAGTGATATAAGCAGGACAATGTAGTTGATAGCTAGGTCTGTGGTGATAAGGCTGGTAACACCTCCTGGTGGATGAAATGGTGATGGGTATAAGCCTCTCACCAGACATTCTGGTCATTCAGTCTTGCCCTGGCTGCTTGCGGTCTTGGAAGGGGCAGAGTGTATCGGAGATAGAAGTTTGACTGATGTGTGAGACACTTCTCAGTGGAGCAGATGTTTGCGAGTTCTCCAAGCATGGATGGACTCTCTATCGGGTGTAGCTGTCTGCTGGCTGCCCATGCTTATGTGAGTAACTCTAATGGACTCACTGGCTCACCAGGATGCACTCCGACTGAATGATTTCTTTGGTCTTTCAGTGATCTCTCTATCTATAGGTGAGTAGTTTCTTTGTGTGTCCCTGGGAAAACTCATACGGGAGTAGGTCACTGGGAACATGTCATTGGTGTCATATCTACCTTTATTTGTTTCCTGGGTGCTGTTATGTGAAATACTCTACCACAACCTTCCCTGTGTGATTATCTGACAACATTTGAAACTATAAGCTCAAATAAACCATTCCTTCCTTTACATTGTTTCGGTCAGGTATTTGGTCACAGTGACGATAAAAGAAATGGACTAGAAAACACAGGGTTCTATGTTTGTGTACATATGTATGTGGATATATTAATTTTTAATCAGGGTAGATAATCTACTTCAACAGTGGTTCTCAGCCTCCCTAATGCTTCGACCCTTTAATACAGTTCTTCATGTTATGGTGACCCCCAACCATAAAATGATTTTGTTGCTACTTCATGACTCTAACTTTGCTACTGTTATGAATTGTAACGTACATATCTGATATGCAGGAGGTCTGATATGTGACCCCTGGGAAAGACTCATTCAACCCCTAAAAGGGTCCCAATCCACAGGTTGAGAATCACTGTGCTTCAGGAAATAAACACCATGTAGTTATATAATAGCCATAAATTTGCCATTTTCTTCTGGCTGACAGTTGATCTCGCAGTCACCAAGGAACAGAGCTGAAGGGAAAGGAGTCTCATGTGGGTCTGTGTTTTCCTTTCAAACAAATGAGTTGAATTTTTTTTTTCCTGGAGCAGAGGACCGAACCCAGGGCCTTGTACTTGCCAGGCAAGCTCTCTACCACTGAGCTAAATCCCCAACACCCAATTGAGTTGAATTTTTTTATAGTCTATTTCTACTCATATTTCTATGTCAAAAGGAGTTTGGAGCTGTATTTCTAGGTAGGTATCCATTTCCTACCTACAGACTACTATCAAAAGACTGGTCAGTCACTGTATCTATCATGGTAGACATTATTCCTCTTTCTTTTTTCTATTAGTGGAATATGTAGTGTATTGAAAAGTGTCTATTACTTTTACCTTATGTTATTTTATATAGATGGGTGCTTTGTTTGGTGTCTGTGGAGGCCAGATGAAGACATCAGATCCTACAAACTAGAATTACAGACTGTTGTGAGCAGCTGTGTGGGTGCTGGGCATAGAATCTGGGTCCTCTAGAGAAGCAACAAGTGCTCTTAACCACTGAGCCATATTAAAAAGGACATCTTGCTCTTCATCTTCTTGCATCTGTCTTGTAGTGATAGCTGTGATTATCACACATTTATTCCATTTAGTAATCATGGACAATAATGTCATATTTGTAGTATAATTACCCGAAGATGTAATAATACTCATGTTGATCTTTCATGGGTAATGAGTTACTTGAATCATTGCATACTTAATGTCATATACATAAAGGTGCTCTAGATGTAATAGATGTGACTATTACATCTATTTACAAACTTGCTTCATGTGGTCCATTGTGAAAATAAATTGATGCTTGAAGATTGTGCTTCAGAAGCAAGTGTGAATCAGACTTTTATTTTCAAATCATTCTTTATCGGTGGATTTGTTAGCTATAAAACGCTTATATATACGATATGTATTGTTGTTGGTTGCTGGAAAAAATGTTGAGGTGGCATAAATCAGACTTATATAAAAGAATAAATTAAGCAGGACTATTATACCAATGGATGGTTGCTATGGTAGTACTGTTTTTTTTTTTTTTTTGATTATCTGAAGTAATGCAAGACATTTCACTCCAACCTGGCCTAATTCTTCTGACATGACAAAAAAAATCCCCCATTATCTATTCCAAGTTCATGCACTAATTAACACTAATCTCCTTATTCTCTCCTCAATCCTATCAATTTTAATTGGAAGTTGGAATGCTCTTAACCAAACTCAACTGCAAAAAAATTATAACCTATTCCTGCATTGGCCATGTAGGATGAATAATCACTATTCTTCCATATAATCTAACCTTCATGCTTCTTCATCTAACTATTTATATTCTTTTAACAACTTCAATATTCATATATAGTCTTATATTTGCATCTTCTCCAAAGTAAAAATTATCATCGCAACAGTTTTAATAATTTATGAATTTTAAGGTATATCAGTTCCCTAACAATTTAGTTACATTAGAGTCTGGATTTGAGGGTCTAAAACATGTCCTTCTTTTCAAATGATACCTTTAATTTAAATATTAAGCAAGGAAAGTATCAGAATTTTGGTAATGCAGAAATAAATTGCTTAAGAACATCTGCTATTACAACTCTACCCCTGCTAAATGGAATGCTGTGCTACCCCATAATCTATCTACTGCTCACTCTTAGAAAGGCGACCTTAATAATGGTTTTCCCATACATGGTTGCATGTGTGTGACTTAAATCACAGTGTGGCATTAATAATTACAGCTTCTTTAATGAAAAAGAGTCCAAATTCCATTTACTATTCTGTTGAGCAAGTTTTCACTCACCAACCTCAAGCCCAGGAGAGATATATCTTTTTAAAAGACACTTCTAAAAAAAAAAAAAAAAAGACACTTCTATTGTACAACATAGCAAGACACAGAGAAACCTCATTTGCTGTAGCAGTTTGTCTGTGTGAGGGATGGTCTCTTCTCCCTTCATTTTATACAAAGATGGATTTCCATCAATGTAGTCTTGAAATTGGAAGATCCTCCCTTCCCATGGGTTCATTTGGCTTATGACCTGCCACTTTATTTTTATTTATTTATTTATTAAAAAATTTAATTTATTTTACATACCAACCACAGTTTACCCTCTCTCCTCTCATCATGTTCCCTTCCCCCCCTCCTTCCTACCCTCCCCACCCATCCACTCCTCAGAAAGGGTGAGGCTTCCCATGGGAGTCAACAAAGCATGGCACCAAGGTCTGTCCCTGGCGCAAGAGCTGGCTTTTTGGAACCCATTCCCTATGGTGGGATGCCTTACTCAGCCTTGATGCAGAGGGGAGGAGCTTGGTCCTGCCTCGACTTGCCACTATGTAATAGCAGAAAATAAAAACTGTACTGGGTACATACCATGTGCTCAGAAATGCATTAGTAAGTTATAGAAGACAGGGAGTCACTAATAAGGGTTTGAAGATAACTAGACCTAAAGTCAGATCTTGGCTTTACACTTGATTGCGCAATACTGCATGTTACCTTTCCTGAACATGATTTTTTTTTTCTCATTTGTATACTACAACCTCCACGTAGGCCTGTAGTATAAATTATTTAAATCACAGAAAAGATGTATAAATGCAGAGTACACAGGAAGGGAATACTAGGGGAACAACTGTGTAATCACTACTGAGGAGTATTTAATGATCTGTGGTACTATTTTTACATTCCAATCTCTGTCCCTGACCTTCATTGCCTTGCCTCCCTGCGTCATACTCCAAGCTCTTGGCACTTGCGGGTATCCGAAGCACAGTCTTGCATTGGTTGTTTTCATCTTTTGCATTATTCTCTCTGATATCATTATTTAATGGATTGTAAAGGCTTGGCCCCTGGTGGAAACAGGCACATTTTTTTCATGAGGTATACTTGCCCATATCAGATAGGAAGTGAGTCCTCACACCATGTCAGACACTGAACAGGATTTGTCACACAAAAATAATTTGCCAGTTGATCAGGCAATTTGCTTGTTTTTAAAACTTTGCTCCATGTCTTTGATTGTTCAGTGTTTTTCTTTTTTTTTTTTTTTTTTAGCATGAGCTGAGGACCGAACCCAGGGCCTTGCACTTGCTAGGCAAGTGCTCTACCACTGAGCTAAATCCCCAACCAGATTGTTCAGTGTTTTAACCTTTGAAATAGATTAGTCTAATATTTGAAGGTGGAGGATGTTGTTGCTCAAGAGTGTTGAACCCCATGACCATTTTAACATACCTATCTTTCTCCAGACATGCAAGTTGGTCTAAGTCAGTGAGCATGGTGAGCGATGGCTCTGATAAACACAGTACCTGCTGTGTAAAAGATAAGTTAAGTCTCCCTACTTATCAGGGTACTATTCATTTTTTATAAAAATGCTACTTGATAAAACACCAAGAGTCAGTGTGCCTGTGCAGGTGAAGCAGACCACAGCCCATTCAAGGTTTCTGTTTTTCAGGTCCCTTTTCACACTGGTACTGCTATTCTCATCTACTCAGTTGTACAAATCAAATATCTAGAAGTCAGCCTTACCCGTCACGTTTATGGTGCAGGCAGTTATGATTAACCAGAAAATGTGGTTAAAAACACACCACAAATATGTCTGCTTTCTCCTTCCGCCTCTCCACCCCAGCATCATCTCCCTTTAGAATCCTCTAAAGTGGGGTTGCTGTTTCTCTACAATCCGCCCTCTATGGAGTAGTTGAAGTAATGTTTTCAATATAATAACGACATCCTGTTCTCTGTTTTAAATGCTCTGAAAGCTTTCCATGTCTCCTAATGAAACCCCCTCTCCCCATTCAGGCCTCTGAGGTCCTTCATGCCCACACCTGTCTGTCGCTTCTGAGGCTGGTTTGTGACCCTCTCTTCCTTGCTCACTATGTGTTTGCCACCTGCTGAATTTCTTCCTGTCTGGAAAGCTCTTCTCCTCTAGTGTGCTTCCTTACATTCCAATCTGAGTCCAAATGTCACCTCCCTGATAGCAGATCCTGCTGCTTTCCATCTCATTGTTTCTCTTAGTCTTCTCCTAGGGCTTATCATCCTCCAAGCATCAAGCAAGGATGTCTACACATACTTCTCATCCGTTTCTATAGCAATGTTGAAATATGGTTAGCAAATGCTTGTTGAAGGATTTCCTTGGGCTGTGTTTTATGAAAGTTCATTTTAAAAATTTAGCTTACAAAGCAATGAATTTCATGTGGCGTTTTATACACAGACGTAATTATCCTCCTCCATCCCCACTGCCCCAGCTTCCTGCAGTACAAATGGTCCCTTCTTTTGTTTTACTTTACATCTATTCCGTTACCTTTCTTCCCCTCCCATCATGCCTCCTACCTTAAGATCTCTTCTGATCCCTATATGGTTCTCTCTCTCTCTCCTCTCTTACACACACACACACACACACACACACACACACACACACACACACACACACTCACTCAAATCTAAATTTCCCATCTGAGGGAAAACATAGCATTTCTCTTTCTAAGTGTAGCTTATTTCACTTCATGTCACAATCACTACCATTTTCGTTTCTTCTTCATAGCTGAGTAAAATTTATTTGATTATGATACCATATATCCTTTGTCCATTCATGTGTTTTTTGGCTATCTAGGCTGGTTTTCTTTCTTTATATTGTGAATAGTGGAGCAATAAGCATTGATATACAAATATTTTTGTGATATGTTGGCTTGGAATCCATTTATTATGTAGCCAGGGGTGGTATAACTTAGCTATATGATAGTTTACTTTTAAATAACTATTTATTTTATTTTTTGAGATTATAATCACATTTCTCCCTTTCTTTTTCTTCCTCCAAGCCCTCCCATATATTCTTCTTTATTCTCTTTCAAATCATGACCTCTTTTTTTTCATTAATTGTTGTTACACGTGTATATTCTTAAATAGATAAATATAATCTGCCCAGTCTGTATAATGTTACTTGTCTGTATGTTTTCAGGGCTGACCATTTGGTATTGGATAACCAATCAGTGTGCTCTTCCCTGGATAAGATTATTTATCCTGATCTTAGCATTCCTTATTTGCCTTATAGTTCCTTATAGTTCTTTTTGTAGGGTTGAAACCTTATGGACTTTTCCCATCCATTCAGCTCATGTTTAAGCAGTCATATTGGTGGGACTTTATGGGTGTATTATCTTCTGACTATCCTTAGAGACACAATCTCACAGAAAACTCCCTGGTCCCCTGGGTCACACAGTCTTTCTGCCCTTTCCTCATCAGTGATCCTTGAACCTTAAGCATAGGAGTGTTTTGTAGATGTATCCCCTGGGACTGATCCCACAACTCTGCACTGTAATTGGTTAAGGTTTTCAGTAATGTTCTCCATCTGTTGCGAAGAGTAGTATCCTCAATGAGGGGTGAGGACTACACTTACTCGTGGGTGTGAGGACAGATATTTAGTGTAGTGAGGGATGATGCTGGGTTAGTAAAGTGGAGGTTGTAGGTTCTCCTCCAAGTTCCATGACTTCACCAGCCCTGAGTAGCTGGCTAGGTGTCCAGTACCAGGTATAGTTTCCATCATGCTGGGCTGCTCTTCAGTTCAGATGGATGACGTTAGGTTACTGTGGAGGTATGCTTACCACTACTGCATCCTTAGAGTTATGATGCCATGATGGCCATTGTTGAGGTTCATGGGCATCATTGCTGATAGGACTGTGGTTGCCTCCCTCCTTGCATGGCACCTTCTTGGACCTTGAAAGATGGTTCTCAGGGAGGAGGCTTTCAGTTCCAGGTCAGTTCTGCTCAGAGGCCTTGAAGTCCTGTGTCTGAAGTGTATAGTGTCTTTGCAATAGGGACTTATCTTCCATTTCTGGGAGGAGACCAAGGACAATAGTCATAGTTTGTAATACTTGGGGAGTCTCATGGAAAATCTTGGCCAACAACTCAAAAGAGGTGTTGGGGTTCCTGTTAGATGATCTTTGGCTCTGGGAGAGAGAGAGTGTTGTGGGCCCAGATGGGAAATTTCATTTAAATCATTTATGTATGAATATTTATACACAGACTTATGTGTACTATGGTGTTTTAAAGTTAGGTAGATAATGATATGATTTATTTTCCTCCACACTGATTTCCACAGTGGCCATGCCAATGTATCATCAGCAGTAAATGAGAATTCCTCTTCCCCCGGATCCTCAGCAGCATTTGTTGCTGCTTGTTCTTCTTGTTCATGGCCATTCTTACTGGGATGAGATGGAATCTCAAAGCAACTTTAATTTGCATTTCTCTAATGCCTAAGGATGTTGAACACTTTTCATCCATTTACTGGCCATTGTATTTCCTCCTTTGAGAGCTGTTTATCCAGTTTGTTAGCCGATTTATTGGGTGGGTAATTTGTTTTTTTTTTTTAATGTTTATTTTTTTTTTGCCATTGAAAGACCCTTTTAAAACCTTTTTTTTTGGATTAACATTTTGCAATTTAGTTTTTTTCTTGAGACAGGGTTTTTCTGTGTAGTTTTGGTGCCTGTTGTCCTGGATCTTGCTCTGTAAACCAGGCTGGCCTCGAACTCACAGAGATCTGCCTGGCTCTGGGATTAATCCCAAGTGTTGGGATTAAAGGCCTGTGCCACTCCCACTTGGCAGCAATTTATTTCTTAAAGACAATGCCACATTAATTATGTGTGGTAGTATTGTGTTCCCCAAAATCTTGTACACCCTAATAAATTTATCTGGGGTCAGAGAACAGACAGCCACTAGATACAGAGGCTAGAAAATGGTGGCACTCACACCTTTAATCCTAGCATTCCAGGGACAGAAATCCCTCTGGATCTCTGTGAGTTCAAGGCCACATTGGAAACAGCCAGGCATGGTGACACACACCTTTAGTCCCAGGAAGTGAGCTTTTAATCCCAGGGAGTGATGGCAAAAACAGAAAGATATATAAGGCATGGAGACCAGAAACTAGAAGCATTTGGCTGGTTAAGTTTTTAGCTGATTAAGTTTCAGGATTTTGAGCAGCAGTTCAGCTGAGAGCCATTGGGATGAGGACACAGAAGCATCCAGTCTGAGAAAACAAGACAAACTGAGAAATTGGCCAGGTGAGGTTAACTGTGGCTTGTTCTGTCTCTCTGACCATCCAGCATTTCACCCCAATAACTGGCCCTGGGTTTGATTTTATTAATAAGAACTTTTAAGATTCCTGCTACAATTATGAGAGGATGTTAAGTTGTATCAATTTATTTTAAATGTTTAGATTTGATAATTTTATTTCAAATTTGGAGTGACTGGAAAAAAATTTATGATTAAAAACTAAATAAGGAGAGTATTATAAACTGTACATTGCTTCCTAAAAACATGAACAATAAGAAAAGAATGATAGAAAAGTGTGTCATAACAACTCATGATGTAAAATATAATTATTTTTCATTATTCATGAAATATTGAAATATTCATGAAAATATTCATGCCTATTTTACCTTCAACTAAGGTATTTAGAGTCCAAGTTAGTCAGGGTATTTTCATTGGCTATTATTTCTTTTGAATAGCAAATAATTTCTGAATCTGTCTTCAGATTACCTTACATCATTGAATAATTGCCGTTTTGTTACTTTTCAATACATGGTTGATGAGGGTTTTTTTTTTTAGCATATTCCCTCTCTCTCTCTCTGTGTATGTATGTGTCACACAAACATTTGTCTGTACATAGATAATTGTGTTGTTTGAGATTTTCTTAAAAACCATTGCCACTTATACTAGTGTTGGAGAATGAGAAACATCTACTGTCTGTGGTTATTCAATCACTCACTCTTCATCTTTGACAGTTCTTTGAGAATTTCACACAGAGCATCGATACTATTCCTTTCCCCCTTCCTAGATTCACACCCCTTCCACTCCCACCCAACTTTTGTTCTTTCTCCATCCAGGCCAATTTGTGCTGCCCAGTTCTTGGCTGTCACAGCCCTACACTGGCACCTGGTAAATTGATTGGGTCTACACTGTTAGAGAAAATTGACACTTCCTCTCTCAGTAGCTAAGAATTGTCAAGAGCTCCTTTGCTAGGGGGTGGAACTTCATGCCCACCTCTCCTTTGTATGTATTTGGTCTGACTTGGGCTTACACTGTTCTTGTGCTGTTCATATATGTGGCTACTCTGCAGTGTCTATAAACACTTTTTCCTTGTCATCTACTTTCTCTGGCTCTTATACTCTCTAATTTATTTAAAACTCAAATTTCTCCAGAATGTTCTAAAAAGAAATCAGCACAAGCAATACATATTTTTTTTTTTAAAAAGAAATGGATCTATACATGTTAGGAATGTCCTCTAGGTTCCTGGGGAGAACTGTCTCTGTTCAGGAAAGAGTTAATAGATGATTGTAGGAATTAATATTACGGCAATTGTATAGTTACATCAGGAAGCAACCATTCAACACTAAAAACACCACAAAGAACCCAAAATCTATGTATCAGTTATCATAAGCATTACATTAATTCAAATAGTAGTGTTTTGGGTTGAAATCATCTTAGTGGATGTCTGTAGTGTTGATGATAAATGCAATGGGGCATTGTATTGAAGATGAAGCTCTATCATTAGTCATTACTTTTACTTGGAAAATAAAAATTTAAACAACCAAGGGGGAGAAATTGAGTCACAAGTAGCAGTATCTTTGTTTTCTTTTCTTCAAGTAAAAGACACAAGCACTTAGACTCAACATGTGTTCATAAGGAACTCATTTGCCCACTATCTGGTACTTGGGAACTGCTCAACACACATTAGCTAGTGACAATATACAGTTGAAGACATATCCTATCTGTTGTTCATGTACCCATGGAAATGAATGCTGTTAGAATACAATTTGAGTATACTCCTAGGCCATCTATCCAGGAGGTCGCTTAAGCCCAGTAAGGGCTTCATTCTCCATTCTTTTAAGCATGCCCTTAAACTTCATCACATGTGAGGGAAAAGGATAGATGCCATGTCTGTCCTTTTAGATGTAGTATTAGCACAAAACCAGTGATTTGCAGAAAAAAATATAACAAACTAGACTTTCAGGAAATATCTGCTTGGATTCTGTCTTACATGATGCCATTTCGAGTTTCCTCTTATGGTCACAGATAAAATGAGAAGGGTTACAGCGGTCCTGAAACAATAATAAAGGATTCGGCCCAGAGACCAAGAGGCTAGAGCAGAGCCCAGGAGGTATTTATTGGTGCCTCTGCAGATGCCACAAGCTAATCCCCTTTGAAAGTCATGGCACAAAAATCAGTCCATTTCTTTTGTGGTTGGGTTTTCAAACTGGCTCTATATATTTCTAGAAGAGTGTTTGCTTTGTGGTATCTTGACCTGAGTAAATTCTAAAACACAGAGGAAATTGTAAGGCTTACAGCACCTGCTTGCTTGTGTGGGTTTTGATGTTGGCAATAATGATGGATTTGATCAGCACAGGAATTCATCACTCCTACTCTTAAATGATTACTTAGGATCATAAATATTTCTGATGGATTGCAATCATGTTGACCGGTGGTTCCTATTTCCCACTGATAGCCAAGCACCATAAAATATCTGAAATCCTTTGTGTGAACTCAAAGATAGCGTCTGGGTCGGAAAAGGAGAAAGTCTCTAAATTGATTTCTTGAATAATATTTGGAGTCTATGAATATTTCCATTTTATACATTCTAACACGAAATGAACTAACTCACTTGGTGATTTGATTGGCATGATGTATGAGGCCCTTGCTTAACTATTGTAAGACCTATTCCAAGGAGGCAGGTGGAAGACAAGATAATTGCTCTCTGGGTACCAGCAGGGAAAACAGCTTAGCTTTGATATTTTTCAGCTTTTCAAAGGAGAGCAGAGGTGAGGTTATAAAAAGAATCCAGTCTTCTCTCTTTCTTTCACTAATCCATCCTACAACTTTGTTAGTGCCAGGATGCCCCATGTGGCTGATTTCCTTAGCTAAAGAATCTGTACCATTGCAACTGAAGGCTGGCCAGCCACGCAAAGGTCAGCTTATGTGGGGTGTCAATAATTTAAAAATTCCTGAAGGTCTTCTTTGTAGCTCCGGTGGCTGCTTTTCATTTGAATCTGCAACACACCACAATTTCTTGTATTATAAAAAAAAAAAACAAACTTAAAAACCAGGGATATCGTCTCTGAAGTGCACTCGAGTTTCTATTTTCCAAGTGAGGGAGATAAATATGACTTCTGTAAAAGCAATTGTGGGAAAGCAGCTAAGAAATTGAGTCATTATGGGATTATGGAACAGAGTTTGCTGAATTAAAGATCTGAGACTAATAATCTTCCTTTTCATGAGGATTTGAGGGAAGGAAATATCAAAATATAGTCAAGTTGCAATAAATCATTTCAGTAATATAAAAATGAAAATCTAATCACAGTCTGATGTTTTATTTAGTTTTTCATTGACATGTGAATATGTAAAGGACATTTAAATATTTTTGAAAGGGCCTTTTAATACTGTAAGGATAGTAATGTTTTACCTGATACTTTCCTAGTTACATAAATTAAATGATTCATTGGAAAGAAGGGATACATAACCCTTTACTTGAAAGAGGAATTCTGTTTTTACTTTTCATTAATTTTTGGTAATTCTTTCCTTCTGAAGAAATTGCTGTCCCAAGT